CGAGAAGGGAAGCCACAAAGGTTTTGAAGCCACATACAATACAAAAACCACGTCCTTCCACTTGGAGAAAGCCTCAGTCCAAGAGTCAAACTCCGCTGCGTACTGCTCTGCTGAGGGACACAGTGACGGAAACTGCAGGGGGAGCTGAGCACAAACTCCGAGCAGCAGCGGGGCCTGGATACTGAGTGTCTCTGACCCCCTCTGGTCCCAGCAGAGTTTATGGTGGTTTGTCACTCAGTCTTTGGTTGATACAAACATCATGCCAACATCTAGAGCATAAGAACAAGAAGTAAACATTCCCCTTGTGTGAGTGCTGAGTCATTTCAGTCATGTCCGACTCTTTGGGACCCCATGGACTGTAGCCCGCCAGGTTCCTCTGTCTGTGGAATTCTTCAGGCAAGAATATTGGAGTGGGTTGCCATACCCTCCTCCAGGGGATCTTCTCGATGCAGGGATCAAACCTGGGTCTGCTGCATTGCAGGCGGATTCTTTACCACTGCATCACTGGGACACGTTCCCTTTACCCAACCTCTTATTAGTGAAGCTAAAAGCTGTCTGACACCAATGGTTCCTTATCAAAGACCAAAGTAATTTCAAGGTTAAGCCACATAAACAATGCAATAGTCCCTTGCTCATCCTTGCAGTAAAATCCATGCCCCGCAGGTTGTTCCAGGCCAACTTGATGGGTTTTGCTTTACTGAGTTTTATCATACTTTTAGTATACAATATACTTTTAGAGAGCCAGAGTGCACCAGAGAAGGTGTCATTTGCATAGTATCTTCGTGACAGAGCATTCAGGAGAAGTAATAGGAGAGCTACAGCCTCCAAAAAACATGACTTTTAAAAAACCTTATTTTTAGATTGAAGTATAGTTGATACACAGTGTTGTGTTAGTGTCAGGTGTACAGCAAAGTAACCGTCATGCACATGAGTATAGTATGTGATACACATAGCATATGGATTCTTTTCCAGATTTTCCCTTATAGATTATTGGAAAATATTGAGTATTTTGTAATAAACATGAAATTGTGAGAGATAAGGAAGTGAGAGAATATGGTGTATTGAAAAGAATAATAGAGCAATCAATCTCTGTATTGCCCTGCAAATATACTCCTGGTCTTTGCAAATATTGGTGCAATCCTATTTAATTAACATCTGTTTATTGGCACACTAGGAGTACTTTCGCTGCTTGGGAGAAAGTTTTAAGCACAGACATGAACAACATATGTTTTCTGGTTCTGCAGCGGCTATTATGGTAAGAATGACTCAAAATATTATTGCCCTTGAAATGCCTGCTGCTTCTAAAATAGTTTTCTTTGCTTCATCCTTCCACCTTCATGAAAATATTTTCTTCTACTTTTTTCAAAGGCTGTATTTGTAGGCTTTGTGAATGAGCTATAGTCATAACATTAATACATTTTTGTTATGAACTGTTGGTTGAAATCTAGTATATATTAGTTATTCATTGTTGGTTTAAATCTAGTTAGTCTTTTATTAGATTGGTTTAAATGCAAATTTTATTTTTAAAGTTCTATAAATAAAATGCATGTTAAAGTATACTTTAAACAATACAAAATGTTGTGCAATAAAATGTTTTCTCTGAAATTTGTATAAACATAGTAGATTAATAATACACATTTATCTCTAAGATAGTAAAGAAATCAGAAAGGGTATAAACCTGCAAACACAAAAAGAATAGATAAGGAGATCATAGCACATAGTGATGTCAACTGTGAAGCTAAAAACTGTCTGACACCAATGGCTCCTTATCAAAGACCAAAGTAATTTCAAGGTTAAACCATATAAACAACGCAATAGTCCCTTGCTCATCCTTGCAGTCAAAATCCATGCCTTGCAGGTTGTTCCAAGCCAACTTGATGGGTTTTGCTTTACTGAGTTTTACTATACTTTTAGTATACAGTATACTTTTAGAGAGCCAGAGTGCACTAGAGAAGGTGTCATTTGCATAGTGTCTTCCTGAGAGAATGCAGGAGAAGTAATAGGAGAGCTACAGCCTCCAAAAACCATGACTTTTTAAAAACTTATTTTTAGATTAGAGTTGACACACAGTGTCGTGTTAGTGTCAGGTGTACAGCAAAGTAATTGTCATGCTCACGAGTATAATATGTGATACACGTAGCATATGGATTCTTTTTCAGATTTTCCCTTATAGGGTTTTGCAAAATATTGAGTATTTTGTCATAATCTTGAAATTGTGAGAGATAAGGAAGTAAGAGAAGATGGTGTACTGAAAAGAATAATAGAGCAATCAATCTCTATATTGCACTGCAAATATACTGCTGGTCTTTGCAAATATTGGTGCAATCCTATGTAATCAACATCTGTTTATTGGCACACTAGGAGTGCTTTTGCTGCGTGGGAGAAAGTTTTAAGCACAGACGTGAACAACATATGTTTTCTGGTTCTGCAGTGGCTATTATGATAAGAATGACTAAAAATATTATTGCCCTTGAAATGCCTGCCGCTTCTAAAATATTTTCCTTTGCTTCATTCTCTATCTTCATGAAAATTTTCTTCTTCTAAGGCTATATTTGTAGGCTTTGTGAATGAGCTATAGTCATAACATTAATATATTTTTGTTATGCACTGTTGGTTTAAATCTAGTATGTATTAGCTATGCATTGTTGGTTTAAATCTAGTTAATTTTTTATTAGATTGGTTTAAATGCAAATTTTATTTTTAAAGTTCTGTAAATAAAATTCATGTCAAAGTATACTTTAAATAATACAAAATGTTGTGCAATAAAATGTTTTCTCTGAAATTTGTATAAACATAGTAGATTAATAATTCACATTTATCTCTAAAATAATAAAGAAATCAGAAAGGGTATAAACCTGCAAACACAAAAAGAATAGATAAGGAGATCATAGCACATAGTAATGTCAACAAAGTGTCGGAAGGTGAGAAGTGTAAGGAAGAATTAAAGCTTGTGTTACAGACTAGATGAAGAAGAAACCTAGGTTCAGTGCGAGAGGTATCACAATGTGAGCTGTGGAAGAGTTTAAAAGAGAAGGACCAGTTACCTTTGAATAGTTGAGAAAGATGGTGTTGCTCTTGCAAGTGCCTGTGTATGTATGGATTGAAGGCGGGTGCTAAAATAGGAGGCCTGAGTGAGATTACTTATAAGTACAGAAGACCAATGCTCTCCACAATTCTTTATAGTAGTGTTAGTTGCTCAGTCATGTCTGACTCTTTGCGACCCCATGGACTGTAGCCTGTCAGGCTCCTCTGTCCATGGGATTTTTCCAGGCAAGAATACTGGAGTGGGTTGCCATTCCTTTCTCCAGGGGATCTTTCTGGCCTAGGGGTCAAACCTGGGTCTGCTGCATTGCAGGCAGATTCTTTACTATTTGAGCCACCAGGGGATTTATAACAAGCAATAATTGCTTTCTAAGTCCAGAAGAAAATTGGAAGTTAGTCTTTGATGAATTAAGAACGTCACATACAAAATTGTTCCAAACTTTGTGCATTACCTGGGCTTCCCTGGTGGCTCAGATGGTAAATAATCTGCCTGCAATGCAAGAAGTTTCACACACATAAAACCAGCACATTTTAATAAATATACATATTTATATATTGAGTAGATATTCTTCACCATAGCTGTGTAAGTTTTTAAAGATATGAGATATGGAACAGAGGTTAAATTTATTCTTTGTAATCCATAGGACCAGAAAATCCAAATCACACCAGAGGGGCTTCTACCTCTGGAAATGAAGTAGTCTTTGTTGCCCAGGGACCATTTCTTCCTATAGGTTCTTTAGGGTCAATCTTCTATTTGTACTATTTCTCTAGAAGACACAGGCAATACTGAGGTTTTCTTAGGTTTATTCTCACAGAGGTAACCAGAAAATTCTAAGTAATTAAAGTGGTTTTGGCAGAGGAAGATAATTCTGGAAACTCACAGCAGTTAAGGGGAAGTGTCTTGGGGAAAGAACATTTTATCGGGGAAATGTCAATGTCTTTGTCTTGGGGAAAGAACATTGTAGTGGAGTTTGGAAGAAAAATAATCGAATACAGGCTCTGAGCCAGTGATAGCCAAGGCAGCAGAAGCATGCCAGTAGAACTGATTCATGCTCTGGAGGAAATTCCACTAAGGCTCTGAGTCATTCACCACTTTTAAGATATGTGTGAGTTTAAGGTGTCTAATATAGTGATTTGATATATGTATATATTTTGAAGTGATAACACTGATAAGGTTAGTGAACACATCTTTCACTGCACATAATTACCAGGGTTTTTGTCTTATTGTTATTATGGTGAGAATATTTAAGTTCTGTACTCCTAGCCACTCTCAAATGAAAAGTACAGTATTGTTAACCATAGTCACAGTTAACAGGCAAGACCAGCTTACAGGAACACAATCTAAGATAATAGGCATTTGGGATATCAAGTGACCTTTTTCCTCTTATACTCTTCTTTGGCTTACATGTTCCTTTTAGAAAGATTTTCTCCCCATAGTAGACAAAAGAGCATGGTATACAGGCTGAAAAGGAAGGTTTTATATTTTTATGTTTAAGAGTGAATCATGGTGCTTTTCTAATTTCAAAACTAATATCAGGCCCATCATTGGATAAAGAGCAACAGCATCTACCTCCTTCTAACTTACTAAAGATGACTCAGTTGTGTGCAACAGTGTAAATCTTAATCTCTACATCCTTACTCTGCATTTAAATTTACAACCTAAGATGTAATTTGCTTGATCTTTGCTGTTTTTATACATCAGAGTCCCTCATAGGCACAGGTATAAGAAGGACATTTAACCAGAGAGTTCAATAGTTAGAGATGTGACCACCAGAGGGTGGTGCACCTCTGCTGATCTGAACATGTGGAGCGTTCATTTGAGTGGATTCTGAATGGATAGGTAGGCTTAGGGTAGAAGCAGAGCCTTTTCCTTATTGGCTGGGTAGACAATGAAAGAAACCACTAGAGAAAAGAAGGGATCACTTGGTAACAGAAGCAGCTCTGCTGGCCGGAGACTGCAGGTCCACAATTGATCCTAAATGGGAAAAACAATGAAGACACCCACTGGAGCTTTAATCACATTCTTGTGGCTGCAGCTGGACTGTGAGTTCAGGGTTTAAGGGAAACCGAGTGTATTCATAGATATTCTTCAGATGCCAGGATTGGCTTTATTCAGGTTTCTTCTAGTTATTGTAGAAAAGGAAAAGTAAACTCTAGGGCTAGATAATCTGACAACCCTTCTCCTTTCTCTGACTTCTGCTTTCTCCATAGGTGTCAGCCTGGGAAACAAGGTGGAGCAGAGTCCTTCTACCCTGAGTGTCCAGGAGGGAAACAGCTCTGTTATCACCTGTACTTACACAGATGGAAACTCAGACTACTTCCCTTGGTATAAGCAAGAACCTGGGAAAGGTCCCCAGCTCCTTATAGCTATTTTTTCAAATAAGCGCAAAGAGGAAGACCAGAGACTGACTGTTTTGTTGAATAAGACGGCCAAACATTTCTCCCTGCACATCGCAACCACTGAAGCTGGAGACTCAGCTGTCTACTTCTGTGCAGCAAGGACACAGTGCTTCCCAGGCATCTTCTGTCTGTACTCAAACCTGTGACTGGGGCAGCCCCCTTCCTTTGGTGCAAACTTCAAGTATGACAAATGTTATATTGTTTGTCTACAGGTGGAAACTGATGTGCTAGTCATATAAAAAATATGTGAGAGAAAGTGAAAGTCACTGAGTTGTGTCCAACTCTTTGCTACACTATTCACTATACAGTCCATGGGATTCTCCAGGCCAGAATACTGGAAAGGGTAGCCTTTCCCTTCTCCAGGGGATCTTCCCAACCCAGGGATCGAACCCAGGTCTCCCATATTGCATCTTTTTATAAATTCCTATCTTAATTAGTATCTTTTTCCACTTAATATTAAATATTGAACTGAACATTCCTCATTTCATTGTCTTGTTCCCAAACATCAGCTTTGAAATAGCTCTATGAGAAATATTAATAAATTACAATTTTACATTGTCTGACATCACTTTTATGTGCTTTGACCACCTTCTTATTGAGAAAATGTGACGTGTGTTTTCCTTTAGTGTCCAGTAACAGTATATATTTTTTGTGTGTTTGAGGAAAAGTAAGATAGAAAGTGATTTGAAAATGTCATGTTCAAATGATTGCAAATCAAATGGTGTATTTGCCTTCTCCTGTCTCTGGACAATTTACTGCAAACTTCATGGCCTTCTCTTGCTGTTATGAGGCCAGTCTGGGTGTTGATAGCTTCCATGTTTCTTCCTTTTCTTAGGGGGAGGCTGGCTGCTCACATCTGTCTTGTTTCCTCCAGGCCAGCAGGGTGGGGCCGCCACTGCCCAGGCTCATGAGGCATCTGCAGAGCCTCACTCTGGCTGCTCTTTGAGTCCTGGGAGCAGAGACAGGGTGGGGTGGTGTTTGAGTCAGACGTCGTGTGATGGATGGTACCCCTGGGCCACTTTTGATGATTGGCAGGCAAAGCATCCCCGGAGACTGGTGGGCAGTCCTGAGGAAGACAGTGCCCTGGTAGTAGGAAACTTCTCCACTTTACTGCCCTCCTGGAGACCTGGCTGCCATTCCCAGGGGCTCCCCACTCCCCAGCTGAGTAGCACCCCTAAGTGTTCTGGGTGAGGAGAGAAAGGGGTGAGTCTTCTCTGTAGGTTCTCCCAAAGCTGGAGGGCAGATGCTCACTCATAGGCTCTCACTTTGCTCTGTGGAGAAATCAGAGGTCAAGAATGTTTCTCCTGGAGCCCAGCTGTGTGCTGTGAGGGAGGGGTGATGAAGGTAATGGGAAATTGTTCCCCTAACCCTCTGCAGTGTGTCTGACATCAGACGGTGTACCAGAATTTCTCTGCTGGATTTCTGGATTTCTCAAAGCTCCCTTGGAGTATGACTGTGAAAATTGGCTTTTTTGTGGGGGTGAAAAGATGATAGAAGATTCCTATTTTGCTATTTTGAATTCAGTATTTGAAATATTAATCCCTAAGTAATTACATAGAAAAATGGACTATTTTTGATTTATATTTCTGTTTATTTTGAATTTTAATCCACTGTGGAGATCATGTAGCCATCACAAGATCCTGACACAGAACAGCCTCACTGCTCCCCAGAATGCCCCGTGATCCCCTTTTGTGAAGACAAACTGCCCGATTCCTGTGCTGTGCTGTGCTTAGTCACTCAGCTGTGTCCGACTGTTCTCGACCCCATGGACCGTAGCCTGCCCAGGCTTCTCTGTCCACGGCGATTCTCCAGGCAAGAATATTGGAGAGGGTTGTCATGCCCTCCTAAAGGAGATCTTTCCAACCTAGGGATCAAATTCAGACTTCCCGCATTGCAGGCAGATTCTTTATTGACTGAACTACCAGGGAAGCCCATGAATACTGGAGTGGGTAGCCTATACCTTCTCCAGGGCATCTTCCCAACCCAGGAATTGAACTGGGGTCTCCTGCATTGCAGATAGATTCTTTACCAACTGAGCTATCAGGAGAGGATAAGTTTTGGCTAATGTATCAAGAAATAGGCTGCGATAGGCAGTGGGTCTTTGTTGTTCGCCATGGTGTTGAGTCATATCCCTAGGCTTTCCTGTTATATTCATACACAAACAAAGATTTATTACAGACAGGAAGTGGTTTAGTGCTGTGGTAGCACAGGTGTAGGGTTGGGGGTGGAATCAGTGGCGATCTTATGGTTAGCTGTCTTATGGAGGTGTATGTATTTCCTTTAGAGCTGGGCGTGTAGGATGTATAAGAGTTTGGTATGGCTTGTTTATGGTCCCAGTTGAGTTAATGGGATGAATATAAGTTCAAAGGCTTGATAACCTAATGACAAAACTAAGGTATCTAATCTGGCTTTCATGAACAGAGCTGTCCCCACTCCCCAGCTGAGCAGCACACCTAAGTATTCTGGGCGAGGTGAGAGAGGGGCGAGTTTTCTCTGTAGGTTCTCCCAAAGCTGGAGAGCAGATGCTTACTCACAGGCTCTCACTTTCCTCTTGGGAGAAATCGCAGGTCAAGAATGTTTCACCTGGAGCCCGGCTGTGTGCTGTGAGGGGAGGGGTGATGAAGGTAATGGGAAATTCTTCCCCTAACCCTCTGCAGTGTGTCTGATGTCAGACGGTGTGCTGGAACTTCTCTGCTGAATTTCTGGGCTTCTCAAAGCTCCCTTGGAGTATGACTGTGAAAATTGGTGTTTTTGGTGGGGTGAAAAGATGGTAGAAGATTCCTATTTTGCTATTTTGAATTCAATATTTCAAATCTTAATTCCTAAGTAATTACATAGAAAAATGGACTATTTTTATGTTTCTGTTTATTTTGAATTTTAATCCATTGTGGAGATCATGTAGCCATCACAAGTTCCTGACACAGAACAGCCTCACTGCTCCCCAGAATGCCCCGTGCTCCCCTTTTGTGAAGACAAACTGCCCGATTCTTGTTCTGTGTTGTGCTTAGTCGATCAGTTGTGTCCGACTCTTCTCGACCCCACGGACCATAGCCCGCCCAGGCTCCTCTGTCCACGGGGATTCTCCAGGCAAGAATATTGGAGAGGGTTGTCATGCCCTCCTAAAGGCGATCTTTCCAACCTAGGGATTGAACCCAGATTTCCTGCATTGGAGGAAGATTCTTTATTGACTGAACCACCAGGGAAGCCCATGAATACTGGAGTGGGTAGCCTATCACTTCTCCAGGGCATCTTCCCAACCCAGGAATTGAACTGGGGTGTCCTGCTTTACAGGCAGATTCTTTACCAGCTGAGCTACAAGGGAAGCACCCCCCACCCATACCTAACTCATTTCAAAAATTAAAAAAAATATAAATTCAGAGTTTGATATGACACTGTCCAAAGAATTGTTCTGGGTATGGATGTATTTTGAGTAACAGAATACAATCATGAGATCCTTTAATTGAGAAGTTTAAAAGATGTAAATAACATGAAGAGAAATTAATGATATTTCATATTTAGTCAACCAGTTGTTAGAAAAATTTTGGGTGTTTTTAAATTAGAGAACAATTCCTACTGTATGTGGTTCCATCAAACTTAATGGAGATTCCCCTGCAAGATCTAAAGATGCTTCAAACAATTTCACTGAGGCTGTCATTATTGTGACAGGGAGATGTGAAGTGAACAGTGAAGTGAGTCACTCAGTCATGTCTGACTCTTTGTGACCCCATGGACTATACTGTCCATGGATTTCTCCAGGCCTGAATGCTGGAGTAGGTAACCTTTTCCTTCTCAAAGGGATCTTCCCAACCCAGGGATCGAACCCAGGTCTCCTGCATTGCAGGCAGATTCTTTACCAGCTGAGCCACAGGGGAAGCCCAAGAATACTGGAGTGGGTAGTCTATCCCTTCTATAGTGGATCTTCCCAACCCAGGATTCTAACTGGGGTCTCCTGCATTGCAGGTGGATTCTTTACCAACTGAGCTATCAGGGGAAGATAAGTTTTGGCTACTGTATCAAGAAATAGGCTGTGATAGGCAGTGGGTCTTTGTTGTTTGCCATGGTGTTGAGTCATATCCCTAGGCATGGCTTTCCTGTCATATTCATATACAAACAAAGATTTATTACAGACAGGAAGTGGTTAGGGCTGTGGTAGCACAGGTGTAGGGTTGGGGGTGGAATCAGTGGTGATCTTATGGTTAGCTGTCTTATGGAGGTGTATGAGATCACCTGCTATGTATTTCCTTTAGAGCTGGGCATATAGGATATATAACAGTTTGGTATGGCTTGTTTATGGTCCCAGTTGAGTTAATGGGATGAATATAAGTTCAAAGGCTTGATAACCTAATGACAAAACTAAGGTATCTAATCTGGCTTTCATGAACAGAGCTGGACTGTCAAAATTAGTAGAGAATAAAAGGGGATTTCTGTGACAGGAGTCAATCTCTGCAACCTCAGCCTAAGCTCCTTAGCAAAGGGTGATTAGATATTCCTGCTTTGGCCCCAAGATGGGCAACTGAAAATATTGATAGTGAGGAGAAGCATTATTGCAACAATAGGCAGAAAGTGAAGAGGAACTTAAAAGCCTCTTGATGAAAGTGAAAGAGGAGAGTGAAAAAGTTGGCTTAAAAGTCAACATTCAGAAAACTAAGATCATGGCATCTGGTCCCATCCCTTCATGGGAAATACATGGGGAAACAGTGGAAATAGTGGCTGGCTTTATTTTTTTGCTGGGAGGGATTGGGGGCAGGAGGAGAAGGGGACGACAGAGGATGAGATGGCTGGATGGTATCACCAACTCGATGGACATGAGTTTGAGTAAACTCCGGGAGTAGGTGATGGACAGGGCGGCCTGGCATGCTGTGATTCATGGGGATGCAAAGAGTTTGAAACGACTGAGTGACTGAACTGAACCGAACTGAGGCAGAATAGAAGAGCTAAAGTGTTTTGCCTTCTTACCATAAAGTGATTTATTTCTACCTTAGGTGGAAGAACAGAACACAGCTGTGAGGATGCATGGTTAGTGTGTCTTATATTATTTCCATAATACATTACAGATAATAGTTTTAAATAAGAGCTGCTCACTCATTTCCTTCATAGAAGCAATGACCCAACACAGCATTGTGTGTGTGTGTGTGGAGGTTGGGGG